TTGATGCAGTATAAAAGCAAGCTAAAACACAAATTATATGCATTTCAAATTAATATTGTTAAAATTCGAAGATTTGGAAGAGTGAACAGAATTCAGGTTACTATCCTGGTCTGGAACTCAAGGGCATTGGCATTTCTATTTGTTTTCAGCTAACCTTTTTCCAGATTCTTTTTTTGTGCAATTGTGCAACCAATGAGCAAAAACAAGGAGCAGTGAGCAAGCACTGTGCCTTGTAACATGCTGTTGCTTCATCTTTGTGCACTTGTCTTGATTTAGATACCAGGGAGACTTCAAGCCTGTGTGTGTACTGTCCTGTCCCATCCCCTCTTTGCCAAGGGGATCTGAGAATTGAGAAGGATCATCAAGCATTACTGTAATATTGTTCTTATTTTCTTAATGTACAAATAGAAGAGTGAGGGGAAGAGAAAATTTTTCTAGTAAGTTAGTGCCCCAGTAATCAGTGTCAAAAGAGAGAAATTTTTGCGGTATTAACACTGTCAGTTTACTCTGTTTAGACCTGAATTTCTCCCAGATATTAATGTGTCTACAATGATCTTACAGAGGCCTTCACATGGAGGCCTTTCTCTGTGCTCCAGTAATAACAAACCTTGCTGGCAGACGTCCTTCAGATAAGCCCAAGGAATAACACCACATCACACATTTTGAAGGACTTCAAGGATTTGCAAGAAAAATGAGAGAACCATGTTGGTTCAGTCTTGAGCAAGCCATATGTTACCTTTAACTGCCTAATTGGAGGCAATGGAGAGTATATAGTCAGACTTCTTGGAGAATTCAGAACAGGAAAAGATGAAAGACAAAGGGGCACAAGCTGCAATGATGAAAATCATGATTACAAGTTAGGAGAAGAATATTTTTAAGGAGAAAAGAATAAAAAGCTATTTGGTGGATGAGCTTAAAAACAGAACCTAAAGGCTGCAAATCTGCAATTTTTCCAAGCCTTTCAAAGTTTTCTATGATTTGAATTAAGCCTTTGCCAATGAATGCCAAAATCTCATGTCCCCTTTCTACACTCTCTCTTGCTGCTCTCCATTATTTGATCATTGTGAATATCACCAATGTAATTTCAAGCAGGGTTAAATCTATTACAAACATCTTGGCCTGAAGGTGTTGTAAACATGTCTGCGGGAGGCAAATATGGGCAAAAGCTAGGAAATATAATTCTCCCTAAAGCTGAATAGAAAATGAGACTAAATGCTCATTTGCAATGAATTGCCCAAATCATATGTTAAATAGTACAGGAAAGAATGCTACAGGTAAATATTTCTGGCCCTGAAGGTCATGAAAGAAAAGCTTTTCATTGCTTTTTTTCCCATACACTACAAGAATTTTGATACAACTGAAATAGCAGGTATATTCTGTGTCAGACTTGAATGCACAGAAAGTTTGAGGCCTCTTAAGGTGGTTATCTTCATACCCAGATTGAAGTGTCTTAAAACTGTTGCCAACTATTACAACTTGTTTTTATTCAGAGTTTGTTTCAGCTCTGTTGACTAGCTCTCCAAAAGTTTTAAATCTTACTGTCTCATGTCAATTTGTATTTGCTAGAGGCAAGAAGATGTTTGCAGTGGATGGTGCCTCCGATCTTCTATGGGAGAAGGTTTTCCCTAGAGAAATCATATCTCAGAGCTCATTCCTCCCAGAGTTGCTGGCATTTTGAGCTAAAAAATACATCCATTTCTCATGTGAGGAACACATGGATTTTTCAAGGCTTTCAAGTCACAATCTAAACTTAGACGGAAAAGATCTAGTAATAAGCATTCTTTTTTTGCTTTTCCCTGCTTCAGTTCTCATCAGTCTGGACAACAGGACAGATTCCAGGCATGCCTTATAACCATATTTCTTTTCTGGACAAAGGACTCTGCCCTCTTCTCACTCCTTGTTATCTTCTGCAGAATTAAACTCCATCGCATTATGTACATACACATTGCTGCTGTGAAATTTTTCTTCACTGTTTTTCTCTTGCTGTCTTCTTGCTTCTACTACACTCCCACTTCTCCATCTCTTTTTTCCTTATGCTGAAGAAAATTTGTTCTTTGAATACCTGCCACCCATTCTGTCAGAGTAAGCCACCAATAAAGCTGGAAGACCAGCACTGTCCCTGGGCTGGCGGATCAGTGACACAGTGAGGGCACATGGTGAATTCCACATGGACCAAACTGTCCACTTAATCCATGTAGAGGAATTCTCCAAAACAAGCAAAAAATTGGAAGATCTGATGTTCTAAAATGATACTCTTAGACATGCAATCAATTCTAGCATCCAACTGTGTACTTGGGAAAACAACATATTGTGAAGGGCCTTGTTTTATGATAAAGTCAAGGAGGAGAAGCCAGTTAAAAAATGATCGTGCCTTGACACAGATAGAATGTCACATTTGTTAACTTTTTAGATGATGCTAAGCTGTGTTTTAGACTTCAAATCCCAGACCCATGCTATAACCTTGAACTTGATGAAGTTGTTGATGGAGGTTGGGGTGAGGTATGCACTGGCCTTCCTGCTCATTGAAAATATTCTGTAAAAACTCTCTGCGGCTTACAGACTGAGGCACCCGCCTTGGTCTACTTGGGGAAATAGTAGAGTTTGATCATTTTGTTCACAGGACAGGTGAGCTGTCACCCCACACAGTGACAGCACACAAAAATTTTGAAGGGAAATAGCGAAAAAAAAAAAAATTCCAGTGGAAACTGCATGAAGCATGAGAGCCTGGCAAATATGTGCATCTGTACTGGAATTTAGTGCACTGCTCCTGTGCTGATTTCTGACATCTGCAAATGGCACTTCTAATGAAGGATGTTTTTCAGCAGTGTGGAAAATTCCTTCCAACTGCCTCAAGCATTTGGCTTAGTAGTACCTAGGAGCACTAAAGTACAGCAGAATCACAGAATCAGAATCACAGTATGCTTAAGGTTGGAAGGGACCTCTACAGATCATCTAGTCAAACCAATTGCTGCAGTGGAAATTTCTCAAGGCAGACAGAGATTGCCCAATGCCGGTTATAAATATGTTGAACATGCAGCAACAAATCTCCTTACAATTGTCTATAGTTATGCAATACTCATATTCTCATATAAAGCACTGCTCCCAGTACTAAACTTGGGAGTTCTAACGAGGAAGGTCAGTGCAGGAAAAAAAGGTTTCCTAAGATGCTCTGTTGTATTGGCTGCTTTTCTAGGGCCTCTTTAAGGCATTTAATTTCCTTTCTAAATGTAAAATGGAAGTATCGAAGCTAAGGTGCATGCACAGAGAACCCTAGCTACAGCAGCAGGGTTTCATGGGCTGTTTCTCCTTGCAAAACGCATGCACGGCATAAAATTCCTTTGCACCAGCTTCTGATAAGAACATACAATGTCAAGGCCCTCTCTGTGAGCAGCCACGGAAAGAAGCACAGATAACAATTTTTACAAGGCTTTGTTCGTATAAGGGAAGGTTTTTCAAGGACACTGTCACTGAAACAGTTGCCAAAACTTACCATCTGTGTCAGCTGGGAGCTCTCGCCTGCTCCTTGGACTCAAAACATTTCTGCTTTCTTACTGCTACTTGGAGGCCCAATCTTGCTCTAAAAGGTAATGATGTGGGGGTGCTGCTTCTATAGCTTTTGTTGGGGGCTCTTTTTAGTGAGTATAAAATGGAGTTTAGGAGTTAGTTGCTAACTAACATAAACACAAGTAAGTCATTTTCAGAGATCTATACAGCTATGCCTGAAACCAGGAGTCCTCTTTCCAGTGTTTTCAATGTAGTCAGTTGTGTTTTGCAGCCTCTTTTTGGCCCGTGGCAGTGTTCCCTGTTTAAGTCATCTATTCAACATCCTGATTCAGTAAGGAAACCTGATTAACCCTGCCTGAGAGAACTAGAAAGAGCTAAAGTCAGGGTCTCCTGACAGTATCAAAAACACTGGGAAGGCAGAATGGGTCATCTGAACTTCGGATCAAAATCCTACCCCCATCTCACACTGGAAAAGAGCTTCATTAAATCTGGCACAAAGCCCTAGTGAGAGATACCTGGGCATGTTCTATGCATTTTGGAGATGTAAAAAGTATTGAGTCTGCTGTGGAAGCACAAATGGGCTTTATAGTCTTACTTTAACTAGATACTCCCACAGAAATGCTCTATAGATTAGACCATTTCAACACTTTGAAGCTCAAGTAAAGTATGTTGAACAAATACAAAATCCCAGAAGTGCATTTTTGGTCTTGCAGAGAGCATGAGAAACCTGTGCTATGGTAGGCAAGCCCAGGAGGCAAGAAACTAGAGTAGTAAAAGCCACTTCACAAACACTGTGACATGAGCAGTGTGAATGGCTACTCCTGCTATTTACATTTAATTTTCTCTTCATTCATAGTAACATTGCAAAACAAGCAAGTACACCTACAGAGAATGAGCAGCACAATGATTTACCCTCCTGTAATTTAGACACACAGCACCACATTAAACCAGGCATTTGGACCTTAGCTACAGCATGAATGCTCTTGCATGGGAGGGACGGGTGGAAGCACTGCAGTCATTTGTAACATCAGAGACATAACAGAGGGAGGAGGAAGCAAGGGAATTGAGGTGGTGCTGTTCAGTGTATAAATACAGGCAAACCTCCTCTCCAGTCTTCTGAATGCTAGAAAGGTGGAACCTAAGGACTGGAACAGACAGTTGTGGGGTTTGTGAATAGCATTGAAATTGGTTTTGTGCCTTCTAACATTTGCTAATTTCTTCTGTTTATAAGTTTTTGTAAATATTTTTTTCTTTGCATGGAAAAAATATCTAGGATATCTCTGAATAGAAACAGAAAGCAAAAGTAAGAACTGTTTAAAAAATTGTTGGCTTAGTGTTTAGTATAGAATTTAGAGATTGCTTTTGCATTAGTGTTTGCTTCTGGTAACACTCCTTAATTTATAAAAACCTTGGAGATTGTAATATCATCTGTTCATTTTTTTCAGGCAGGAGGTGAAAGAGCTGTTCCAAACTGACGGGAGAGACAGTTTGCAGCTGAGGAGCAACCCCTGAGCAATGTCACTGGCCGGTGTGAGCTGTCTGGTGACAGGAGCAGGAGGGTTTCTTGGACGGAGGATTGTCCGCTTACTGCTGGAAGAAGAGGAGTCACTGGCTGAGATCCGACTGCTGGACAAAGCTTTTAGTACTGAAGCCCTCAAGAGCTTTGAAAGTAAGTACCATCTGGTCCTAGCCTATGTGTTGTGGGTATATGTGATGTTATCTTAGGCTGGAGGTTTTTACCTCACATCTTCCACCCCAGCTTTGCAGATGCAAGTTTTATCTCAACCAAGTAATGTCCTATCTGTCCCCCTCCCTTTATCACAGAAATTGGAGGTAAATCTAAAATGAACAGTTCCTTTGCCAAAACCTGAGGCTTCACTACATCAAAAGAGTGAGCTAGTTACTGTCACTGCAGTGAAGAGGTTGCCTTCAGCCTGACCAATTGGATGAAAGTCCACAGATAAAAATCAATGAAAACCCTCACACTTCTGCTGGAGGAAGAAAAGGAAAGGCATGTCTGCTGAGGGGCAGTGTAGGCAGGCAATGCAGACTTGGCTTCTGATGTGAAAGTCTAACAGCAGGGACCAGATTGTGGGTGCAGGTGTTTGTGGTTCTCTTCAAGCCTGGATTAGTCAGACTTTCTGCAGGCTTGACCTGCCCTGGCTGCGGGTTGTAAGGACACATCTTAAAAAATGGTTATTATTATTATCATAGTTTCCTGGAGAGCAGAGACCTGGTTTGCTGTGCAAAGAGGAGACAGGCCCCATTTGCAAAGGCTATGTCAGTACTCTGGCTTCTTGAAGGGACTGGAGAGAGCAAAATGGAGTGATGGGCACATTCTGTGGCAAAGCAGGAGCACAGAGTGCTATGTTTTAAATGTCCCACATTTCTGGGATCCTAAACATGTCTATAAAAAGGCACACAGGAACCTGAATTCAATCAAGTACCTAAATGCGTACATCATTGACTTTTATTTGACAATGCTTTCCTGCATCAAATGTCTTAACTGCAAAATTAATCTTCCTGCATACCTGCATTACGTATGGGAATTCTTATGGAACAACCCTATACAATTTGCTAACGAACTGCAATTTTGCTATAAAGTGGTTAAGTGGCATCAAATAATAGTAACAGTGTGCCATAACCTTGGTGCAAATTACACAAGCCTTTAGGATGTTTTTATTTGTTTGCTGACTTCCTCCTCATTAAAACTCATGTGCTGTGTCAGGGAGGATTTGCTAGATCCCCACAGGCACTGCAGCAGCCCTTCCTCTCCTGATTTCCAGGCAGTTCCCACAGTGACAAAACGAGCGGTGCTAGGAATGTGTGGGCTTAGCACTGATGCAGCTAGGCAGTGTCAGAAGCATCTCTGCTCTTTGCTCTTTTGAGCTTCCTGGGAACTGTTTGGGTGAGTGCAGTCCTGGCTGGACTGCAGCAAAAGTTTTGCTGCTTCTTTTTGTTAAAAAGAAAGCTCTATGCTCTCTTTTCTTATGCTTTCCCTTTCCTCCCCTAAGCTCTACCAGATGCATTTTTCCTTCCCAACTCTAGCCCCATTCCGGCTGCCTATCTGACCAGCTGAGGAGGAAGGGACAAATGAATTACCAGCGCTAACTGCTAGGAGCAGGTAGTAGGAACCCCAGGCTGGCATTTCAGATGTGTTTGGACTGCCCTGAGGCGCTGCACCATGGCTGGCAGTCCTGTCTGCATCAGCCTCTATAGTCACATCTCTTTAAGTGCTCTGCTAGTGCCTCTGCTTGGGATTACCTGAAAGATTTTTCTCCCATTCACTTTCAAGTCCTTCTCTGACACAGTGACTCCTTTTCTAAACACAGGGCTGCTACAAAACCCATGGGGCTGGAGTATCCCCACATATGTTATTTTTACTGTGACGACTAACTCTTCAGAGGAACTGAAACTCCTCTACTTGCTGGCACATGTTTGGATTTCTTGATAGCCTGGAGCAGAGCCCAGTCATTTTCTTTCTTATTAAACTCTTCAGCACCTTTTATTCACAATGTCCCTGCAGTGCCAGTGTTGCGGGAGCAAGTGTCAGTTACAGCTCGGCTGGGTGCCCGTTTCTATCCAGGACGCCCCCTTTGTCCTGCTGAGACCCTGGCCATCAGGCTCTGTCTGCCTAAGATAGAGGCATTTTCTGTCTTGCACATTCCCAGTGAGTCCAGGATGCTCCAATCAATACAAAGTGCCGTGATCTTGAGCCTAGATTCTGTCCAGTTGAACTGTGCCATTGAGAATGAATTTGTCATGGGGTTAGATGCTTTGGCTTCTCTCCCACCTCCAACTTATCCTCATACCATTCCTGTCTCTCCATTTATACAATTATTTTTGCCCACCATTTTACTGACACCTTCTTCAAAATTTAGAAGCTTCTAGTTTGCTCTCCGGTGAGCTTCTCAGCATTTCAAAGCATTGACTCCCTTCTGTTTCTTCCCTCTGCAATATTCCTCCCCATCCTAACTTTTGTTTCATGTAATTTTTCCAAGCCTGAAACTTACAGACCAGGTGATGCTTCACCATTTAATATCAGGCTTTTAAAATGGGCACTGGTAACCCAAGACTGCTCCAAAGCAGAAGGAAAGTATAGGAGTACAGCTGGGGAAAGTTCCTACTGTGGCAAATTTAATCCTGTCTTTTTAGCTCAAACTTGCAGTCAGATTCATTTGCCTTCATCCTTGCATTCAAAATGCAGAGCATTCAAATTCAAAATGCATTCAAAATAGATAGTGTAGCAGCAGAACAACCTAGTACCTGAAATGGGACCAGCATAAACATATTAGCTTCTCAGAGCTAAAGAAGCTAATAAATTGCATTATCCTGTAGAAGTGAAAGTAAGATACATTTTCATAAGACACATTTTCAAACTTTTTCTTATGAATACACAAAGTGGATCATTTAATGAGCCTTCTATGTACC